TAAATGCCATGAGGTCTTTCTTGTTTTGTCACCTTGACCTTGGTTGTGTCACCCTTTGTCAGAGTTTGGTCGACCATCAAGATCAGTTCCACATCTCCTCTACCTCTTGATCTGTGTACAGTTCAATACTCATCGGCAGCTGCAGCTCAGAGATGTATGTGTACCTCTTTCTGTAGTCTGTTGGAGCAAAGTCATTCAAGAAGCATACCTTGTATTCTTCAGTATCAGCAAGATGCTTCTCTAACTGGGAGTACCTCTCGATTATCTTTGGATCATGTCGAACTTTCGCTTCAATCACTCTCAGTTCTGAGCTGTGTCCATCCTGCACGGATCGGACAGGGAAAAGCTGCTTCCTCTGTTCTTGGACTTTCCAATTTGATGTCTCCAAATGCTCGCTGTACTTAGAGATTCCTTCCCCTAGATTCATGACCATGTCTTTTATCTTCTTTAGGTGTGGCTTTTGTAGCAATGGCACACAGCAAACCTTGAACAACTCTTGGGCATGCCCCCTCAGCTCTTTACCTGACATGGGTTTGAGTGTAGGCCGATGAAGCGAGGGGTTATTGTAGGTCTAGTGTGAAGGTCTTGCCGTCATACAGTGACCTCAGCTCCTGTGGCAAATATATGGCACGATCAGCCAAAGTTCTTAAATGTGGTAGCACATACCACACAGCATTTCTGATGGCGAAAAGGACTTCTTTGCTGGAAACTTCATTCCCTTTGTTTCTTTCAAACCTGTTTTAAGCACACAAAGAAAGCGAAGTTAAGGTAAAGCTCATGTTAATCCATCATTTTGTTAATGTCACAATATACATCAAAGGAGGTTCTGTCTATTGATTGAACCTCCTTGATACTACATGTGTAGTACATCTGATCAGCTCTTCTATTCAAAACTCATGCAAAACTCATGATAAATCTCAAAACCCATGGTTGTTACAATCATAACATACAAATGTACTCCAGGAATAAAATATACCTGAAGTTGCGTTTCTTCAAAATGTCCACAATGTTATTGTACAGCCGGATGTGCCCCAGGGGATTGTTGTTCTCAGTGTCGCCAGTACCAGCGTAGGCTGGAAACATAAACGTCTCTCGGCTTTTCTCTCGGGAGGTCATCATCATCACCTTTATACAGGTACATACAAAAGGCTAACATCACGATTTGTACTACAAGTATGCTGGATATATTACTTTTCCATGGTTTAAAAAAATGGTGTGGCTATTGACAAGATGTTTTGCCAAAAGTGTTTAAAGAGTCTTATTGACAAGAAGCATAGGAATACCTTTGAATCAGTATACGTCCATTTAATAAAACGGTGCAATGAGCTGTACACCTGGATAGACCGTGCACCTTGCCATTGGGAAATTGGGGGGTTATTTCCCACCAAGTAATACTTTTTTTCCAACAATCATTTCAATAGTTCTTCAGTCATGGTATCAAGGTAAAATTATCCTGTCGATCAATGGTAACAAAATCCCACTGACAGGAACATTCTGTCAATCATGCAAAAATATTGCTATCAAATTATATCAATTAGTTCGGTGCCTTTATTTACTGACTCGATAGCTTGAACATCCTGTCAATTGCCTTGGCCTTTAAAAACACTGCTGTAGTCGTTTATGCTTGAAAAATGCTCAATTTTTTATCTGCCCCTCCCCTAGCCCTATATTTCATATATACTAAAAAATCCACGACTGACTAAAAATTAAAATTTAGTCACCTCAAAAGCAGACTTGGGGCGCGGAACTTCAGCTCCTTCACTGGCCGCCGTCTTGTCCACCTCAATGCGGACGAAATGCCCGAACTGCCGGCAGGCATGGCCGACCTGCAGGCCAGCGTACACCTCCACACCCCTTCCGACTCTCCCTTCATTGCAGAAAAATTGCGCACTGGCCGTTCTTGAAAGGATGTCTCTGAAGTTCACCGGCCTGAACTCACTTGCTGCGACCAGTTTCTCGTACAACTGAGCGAACGTAACGTCACCTTGCCCACAATCATACCAATCCACAACTACCCCGCCACCCTTCCTTTGGACTTTGATGCTCACATAATTCGGAGGAGACGGAGACTGACGACAACATGAAGTTGACGCCATGTTTTTTTTATCCACATGTGCAAGGAGTAGGTTTACGACGAGAACGTCGGTACGTTTTGCGATAGGGACAGGGAAAGCGATATTTTACGACACTAGAATCAATTTACGGCATATATTTGCTCATTTGGAGGTGTTTTGCACGAAGGTCAAAAACTTTTTTTTTTTGGAAACGAGCGAAAATTGATGCGCGCGCGGATGTCATCCATATAATCAAATCAACATGGCCTAATGGAGGATTTCCAAACTTTGTGCAGAGAATGGAGGGCCTGGGCAATCCTAACATTCATGTCATGATCACTGTCAGTGTAGCCTCCTAGGTACTTAAAATCGGCAACTCGCTCGATTGTAGAACCGTCAGAGGCTAGGAGATTACTCACTGATGTTGGATTCAAGTGCATATACTTGGTCTTAGATGCATTAAGGTACAAACCAATTTTTTGGCACGAGTTTTCAACTCTGGTGAGTAGGTTTTGTGCAAAAGATATACAGTTTTCCAGTAAAGATATGTCATCGGCAAAATTGAGGTCAGCAAGGGTTTCGGCTGGGTGCCGTCGGCTTGTTCGTTTGTTTGTTTATTTTTTGCACAGCAGCAATAAAAAAGATTATACATAGTAACTTAATAATGAATAAAACAGGTGCAGGAGGAGGGAAAAAAGCTTATTTAGCTTATGCTAAGCCCTCCTCCTCTATACTAACCAAAAGTAAACATAATTGAATTGAAATAAGGCATACATACATAAGGAATTGTTATCAAAACAATTCAAACATGGGCAAAATGATACAATAACAATAATGAAACAGTAGTATACATAAATTGATGAAATGAATTTGATATGAAATAATACTATTATATACATAAGGAATTGTTATCATAATAATTCAAACATAGGCATAATAAACAATAACAATAATGAAACAATGGTGTACATAAAAAATAATAACAACTGAAGATATGAATCTAATACAAGGGCCTGGGGGGGGGGTTATAAGATGGGCTTTCAGGGTATTTTTAAAAGTTAGAAAATTGGAAATTGTTCGTATGTTTGTCTGAAGGCTGTTCCATAATGAGACACATTTGTATTTTACGGAGGATTGTGCTAATGACGTTCTTACAAGGGGAATATGGAAATGAGCACTTTGTCGAGTTTGGTAAGTATGAAAATGGGAATTAAGATTTAAAAGACCATTAAATGTGTCTGGAAGAGAACAGTTTAGGAATTTAAACGTAAATAGCATCAGGTGAAGTCTGTTTATATCAAAAATATTCAAAATCTTAAGTTTTGTAAACAAAGGTGCAGAATGTGCGTGAAAACTGGCGCCGGTGGCTGAACGAACAATACTAGGGGCTGTAGTATGGTTTTGTAGGCGCATCCCCAGACTATATTCCCGTAGGTTAGATATGGGTATTTTAAGCTATTGTATATGGTAATAATGTTTTTTTGAGTAAGAATATGTTTAAGTTTTCCAATAATACCGATAGATTTTGAAATTTTTTTACCTAACATAGTTATATGTGGTTTCCAGGTCAATCGTTCATCAATGATTATACCTAAGAACTTGGCTTGACTCTCTTGAGAAAGGGTCACATTTTTTAAAAAGATTTTGGCGCTTCTATTGTAGGTTTTAATTCTATTACAGAAAATAAGGTAGTATGTCTTCTTAACATTGACTGATAATTTATTTGCCTCAAACCACGATATAACCTTTTTCAATTCTTCGTTAGCCAGGTTTACTAGCGTATCAAAATTCGAGTTTGAAAGAAAAAGATTTGAATCATCTGCAAATAGGATGAATATAATTGAGGATGCTTTTTCGAGGTCATTTATATAATTCAAAAAAAGTAGGGGTCCTAGTATCGAACTCTGTGGGACACCACATTCTATTATTTTAAGTTGTGATTTATTATCATTAAGGGTTACGTATTGCTGTCTATTGGATAGATAAGAAGAGAACCATTTTATTGCGGAGTTACATATACCATATCGTATTAGTTTATTGAGTAGAATGGAATGATTAACTGTATCAAAGGCCTTTGATAGATCGAGAAAGATTCCTATAGTGTATTCTTTGTTATCTATAGCGGTAGAAATTTTTTTCCATTAAGTGTATGAGTGCTAGAGAAGTAGAATAGCCCTTTCTGAAGCCATATTGGTGTTTATATAGGATGTTATTTTGATTTAAATGTTTCAGAAGACGCTAAGTTTTTGATAATATCTGTAATTTCAATATCAGTTGGTGGTATAAAAATTGATAGGTTAGAATTTACTTGTAAGGTGATGTATCTAAGAGGGTCTTGTATTCCTTTTGGGATTTTACTATCAAGCGTAGGTCCAATATTAATGAAAAAAATCATTGAATTCGTTACATATTTCATCTTTATTTTCGGTAGTTTTGGTACCAATTTGTATTTTGTTTGGACCAGCTGATTTACTTTTATTACGATTTAAAACGTCATTTATCAGGTTCCATGTTTGTTTTATATTACTGGTGGCTTCATTGAACTTTCTGTGATAGTATTTCTTCTTTGCAGTTTTTAGGTGATGATTTAACTTATTCCGGTATTTTTTATAGATACTGTGGTTTAAGGGCGTCGGGTTCTTGACATATTTAGAAAAGAGCTTGTTTTTTTTGCGTATTGACTTTAACAATCCACTGCTTAGCCAGGGTTTTCTGCGAGAATGTTGGGAGATTTTTGTAATTTTCTTTGGAAATAAAAATTTTTCGTATAACGATCCGTATGTTTCAAAAAATTGATTATATGCTTTTTCTGTGTGTGTTTCGTTTAATACGTCACTCCATACTATTTCTGATAGGGATTGTGTAAATTTCTGAATGTTAGTTGTGTTAACTCGACGATAAGATATTTTGTCTGCCTGAC